CTCTAGTTAATATTCTCAGAGATAAGGCAAAATACGATACAAAAAATAAGAATAAGATACTATGAAAAGGGAAAATTAAAAGCATGATAGTTAAAATACTAAATTGAATAAAGGAGCTGGCATGATAAATATCAAAGAATTTGCCCCAGGAAGTTTAACAATAAGACAAAACAATAAAAAATAAAGGAAAAAGAAAAACTTAGATAAAAATCAACCAAGTATGTAAAATACAAACATCAATTAAATATGCAAAACACAAGCACCAGTGAATGAGTATGTAAACATGCCATTTACCATACTCCCGACATAGGTCCCTCTTTATAAATGTTCCTCTTTCTTACTCAGTATTGAGCACCTACTACATAAAGGACTGTATGGAAATAAGGCATTTAAGTCCATAATGAACTACAATTTGAGTTAGTTTACATTAAAGGTCATAAAAGGATGTTTAAAAAAGTCTCATATCTGGTCTGAGTGATTTTGCAGAACTGGCTGTCAAAGTCTGGCAAGACGTCAAAGTCCAGAGATGCTGAAGGAAGGACAGCTACTCCAGGCGGAGGAAATGGTATGAGCAGGAGGGGGCAGAACGCACAGAGTTCAGAACACAGTAATTCATCCATATCGGCTGAAGCAGAAAGAGCGTTTAGTAGGAGATAACCATGGTAGAGAGGCTGCACTGACTAATAGGGAACCACAAAGGGCTTCTGTGATTTAGAAGCTGTGTAAATAACCTTGAAAGATTCTAAATGGAACTACGATTATTTCCAGATTGGATGTTACTGGGGTGGGTAGGGAAGAGGGTTCTGGACCAGGGAACTAAGCAACCTGAGGTTATACAGCAGGTCGCTTCATCACTCTGGACCCCAGCTTCCTCAAATGCAAAACTGAGGTTGGAGTTGAGCTCTTAAAGTCTAAAATTCTGGTGGGAAATCTCTGCAACTGCTCAAGCATCAAATTGGAGGAATCAGATAAATAGGGTGGTGACAACAGGAATAGGAAGGTAGACAGAGTAAAACCATCAGACAAAAACCTTACATAGAACATATATTAAGAAATATAGCTGTATCTGTGGATTGTGTTGAGAATAGAAATACACTGAAATTCAGAAGACTACCTGTAGACGATCAACATGAACTTTGACTCCTCCAACTATTCCTTTTTTAAAAGCTGCCAGCATATCTAATATGGGATTGAATCGGCTACCTCTGAAAAATATAAACAGATAAACAAAATGTGCATATTAACAACAGAAAGAGAAATTAATAATCTAATACCAAGTGCCCTCTACATATGCAAAGCACTCTGCCATCTGCTGAGATGGATAAAAAAAATACAAAGAGGCCCTGCTTCCAAAGCATTCAGTGTTACTGTGGTGACGTGCACGCATCACACTTCTTTTATCAACCTACCTTATATTGTCTTCCCGGATGAGGACAAGGAAAAGTGGACGTCCGTGCATTTTCCAGTATTGCTTAATGAACTGTAGTGCATTCTATCAAAACATAAGAATGAGGTAGGATGTAATGGAACAGTATCTGAGCTGATAAGGATGCTTAACCATTAGAGGCAAAAAGCCAACAATACTCTTACATAGAAAGACAATTCACAATCAAACCGTGGATAATACAGACTACTTAGGGGTAGAAATGTTCTCATACACACAAGTTAAGCTAGAAACCATTGTGATTTTAAACTTTGTTCTTAAAAGTAATCAGATCACACTTGTTTTAAGGCTGCTCTGTGTGTGTGTGTGTTGTGTGTGTGTGTGTGTGTGTTCTGTGTGCGCGCGCGCGCGTGTGTGTGGCTTAATAAACAAAGCTCCAGAATGGTCCCAGGGAGGGAAGATCAACCCAGGGTTGTCACCTAGAAGATTAATTCTCACTCCACATAACTGCAGATTTGTATTACAGCAGGTAGAGGACACTGGACGCGATCTACACAGATCACCAGAAACATGGAGAATTCCTTATTTGACTCAATTTCTATTGTCATCATAATCATCATTATCACATCAAAGACTTATGTAACACTTCCCCATGTGCCAGGCACTATTCTGAGCGCTTTGCATTTATTCACTTATAATTCTCAAGACAGCCCTATTCAGCAATAAGGATGAGAAAACAGGGACTCAGAGAAGTGAAGTAACTTGTCCAAGATCACACAGCTGGTAAATAGTGGAGCCAAGGTTTTAATAAATGAAATTTGGCTCCAGACTCCATGCTCTGGGCCATGACTCTAAGCTTCTCTATTCTGAATGGAAAAGGGAGTAAAGGGGAGTTTAACTGACAGGTGTTATGAATTAGATGAGGTTTTACTTGAAAATCCTTCATAAAATCATTTTGCTAGCTCAACTTTTGCTCAAAAAGAGAGCACCTTGCTGTCATATGAACGTGGTTTCGGAAACAGTTCCCCTTCTGCTTTTACAAACTATACTGTATATCCTTTCACTCCATTTGTAGAAGGTGGAACAAGTCAAGTCATACAACTTTAAAGAAAACAATACACCTATTATTCTACTGTTGCAAGTATTGGCAGACGCTGTTTTACTTTCGTATTTGATACTGCGTTAACCCAGTGTCACAGACCTAGGGGCATTCAATTTAATAACACAGTAGAATCAGTAGAAACAAAGTCATCCCTTTTCAATAAAAAAGTGTTCTGAAGCTACCTTTATGTCATCTATCAGCAGTAAAACATCTTGAGACATGTAGAAATCACTTAGGTCGAAGATAATAGGGTAACAAACCACAGTCTTTCCTAGAATGCGATAAATCTGTGGGAGATAATTAAAAAAAAAATACAAGAGAGACCAAAGGCAAAGGTACAGTAATACAAGCCCTAGTAAAACTTAAAACTGACGTTTAATTCTGAATAAGCAAATAACATCTTCTAAAATCTGCATAACATCAGAAAATGGTTGTTTCTTGATTGAATCAGTATGCTAATGAACTTACAGTAGTCCACCTCTACTATAAAGGAAAAAGCCTCTGAGTAAATTACTATTATTATCAGATATCTCAGAAAGCTTGGAAATAACATAGCAGTAAGTTGCTGACTTATTCCTAGAAGACTTCTGTGATATCAAACCAAACAAATTATTTTCTTGAAGAAAATAATAATTCAGATAACTATTTAAGGAAACGTGAGAATGGACGTATAGCAGGTCAAACATCATTTCAGTCTGTGGTATTACAGTCTGAACACTGCTCTACAAGGAAGTTTCATGAGCACCTTTGATGTACCGAGGCAGCCAATGGGCCTATCTGGCCTTCCGGAGAGTCCTAATTTTTCATTTATACCCAGATGGAAATAAGCCTGTAAGACACAAATTTGTAAATCAGAGTCAGTCAAGAACCCATGCTTTTCCTTTTTTGTCCCATTTTTTTCCCCCTTGACTACTGCCCTGCTAATTTCTGATCTTCCCAGAGAAAAAGAGGCCAGGGAAACTTTACTCAGTGAACTTGTAGGAAAACAAGCCAGTCAGTACCATCAACTTAGACTTGGGGGCACTGGGAGATTTGAGAACAAAACTTTTACAGATTCACTTAGTAACATTCTAAGATTGTTCTTACGCTTTATAAATTTACAATTTGTATAGCTCTCTCTGATTCATGTAAGAACAGAGAGAGTGAAATGCTTCCTATGTGATAAAAAAAATTTGGCTATTTAAAAGTTTTAAAAAACAGGGCCCCATAACTTCTACTAGACTTCCACCCTCAAGTATTTCCCACCAGCATGGACAAATCTTATTGATTCTTCTGATGATACGAATTTTACGAAAAATTTAATCCATATGCTACAAGTGAATGGTCCAGTTATTCTCATTACTCCTTAGCTAGTAACAATTTCACTTTGGTATGTGTTGAAAGGAATGTAATTGATTGTGTGATCCCTGAAAAAAACCAGAAGTATAAGACAGGGTTATAGATTTTTAAAAGTACACCGATGAATACACACACATAAATCAATACGGGTATATATTTACATAAGTGGGTTCATATACTATATAATGGGCTTGGTACCTCATTTTTTTAACTTAATATTATTTTTCTACAAAGTAAAAACAGACTTGGAGTGAACTAGGAGTCAATCAGCTCTGATAAGCTGAGCACCTAATCCAATCAAAAAGCCCCCTTACCCTATTTAACATCTATCCCCTGATGAAGGTAGCTCCCAATCCTTTATAAGTTAAAAATTAATTCAGTAACCATCTCTGGACAGCATGCTATTATATCTGTAGGATAATTTCCTAGACTAGATGGACCAAAGAGACTATATGTTCTCTTTGAAACCTAATGCCAGGTTGGTCACCCTCCAGAAGTAATGGGCCAATTTACACTGACATTAATAGTACACAGGCCTTTTTTTGTCACTCTCTTGGGTCACAGTATTTCATTTTAGTTTTAAACTATCATATTCAAATATTTTGTGGCTGACCATTTTCCCATATATTTAATGGCTATTTGTATATCCCATACATTTTTTTCATTTTCTTTCCCCTTCTCTACTGGGCATTTGTCATTCTCTTCATTTGTAAGAGATCTTGATATATTTAGTGATTTTTATATTTAAATCATTTTTTAAAATGTTTAAATCTTTCATCTGTCTGAAATTTATTTTTGTATCTGATGAGAAGTAGAAATCAAACTTAAATTTTCCAAAATGAAAATCAAACCAACTGTCTCTAAACAATCTACTGATTATGATTTAAACTGATTTCAAATACGAACCTCATCGTATACAAAATTAATGTCATCACCAGAGCTCTTTGTTTGTTCTGCCATGGTGCCCACATCTACGTCAGAGTTATCCCTGTGTCTCTTTCTCCTGCATCGTGTGTTCCTAGAGAACATACCCTGAGTAGGCACTGTGCCTAGCATAAAGCTGGTGCTCAGGAAATGCTTGATGGATGAATGAGGCAGCATCTGTAAGACCTCATGAGCCACAGGTGCTGAGCATATTAAATCTGTAACAGCAGTGCTTTTAGACAAAGTTAACAGGCCAGAAAAAGTACTCTAAGCATTGTGTTGTATAGCTGCACCAGAACTACAGCGCACAGCACTTAGGAGACCCCCTCCTTCCCTTAAATATTTTCAATTTTTCAGAAATAAGTATACACTAAAATACTTCAGATTTCTTCTTTTAGACAAATGATCATATTAATCAACCATGCACAAGCTGAAATGTACTGATCTAGGGAGATCTAGAGAAAATCTTTAAGTACTACTCTATGACAATAAAGGGACTGTCCTTACCTCTCTGACTCATGGTAGAACAGGTCTACAACAATGAGGTAATCAGGCACAGAATACTCGCTGCATTCCAGGGTGCAGACGATACTGTCCCCACTCTGTACACATTCACACCACTCTATCCTCCGAAATATACAGTAGTGACCAAACCATCCAGAAGTACAGAAGTTCTTCATTCTAGATCTGCACTGTATTCAGATCTGAGGCCAATCACACCACAGTTACTACATCCTGAAACACCAGCTACGCACAGGGAAAGCCCTGCCCCCAGCTGTCTACCCTCACATCCTTCTCAGTGGGCCGAAGGAGGGAGCAGCTTCTCAGAAGAGGATGCTCAGCCACTGGCATAAGAATATGTGTATTAACTAAGGGAACACTTTCACTCTTAGAAGGTAGACTACAAGAAGCAATGTACTAGGCAGTATATCTTAAGGATGAATCTCAAAGAGCAGCTGGCCTGGAACATAGAGGCTACAGCCACAGAGAATCTTCTGTATGACATGTGCCCAGGGAAGCTGGGCTCCTGGTCGCAGATCCGTCTTTTTAGCCATGCCACACACCCAAATTGTTAATCATGAGTTAACATCATCTTTAAAACAACAAAATTTAAAATAAGTCAGAACCTGTTGTTGTTAAGTCTTCGCTTTACTCTGTGGCAGGATGCTTCCCACCACCTCTGTGATTCCTTAGCACCCCCTCCTAATGTCTATTATAGGACTGATCAAAGTGGATTGTAATCAACTGTTTTTTCTCCCACACCACCAGACTCAGAGGTCACTGACTGAGAACAGGGATAGAGTCACTTTATCTGTGTGCCCCACACAGTGCTCTGCAAAGAATGGTGTTCACTGATGAATGAATGAATAAAATGCCACATTTAAGTCATCCGGAGTCACGTTGGTCTTTTAAACCTTAGCTGTGAGTTGTCTGGTAGAATATAGATTCTAATATAAATTAGGCCTTAAAAAAAACAGATTTGGGTTAATTTGCTTTGAGAGTATGTTTATCAAAGAATAATAACCTTTGTTATCATTCCCTGCAGCTTTCAGTGAGAGACCATAAAAATGTCTCAGCAAACACAGCTCACCTGAATGATAAGTGCACAGTGTTACACCTTAGATTTTTGCCCCCTCTTTCTGCCTTGTGAATTCTTACCTCCCCTCTGGCCTCATTTTACCTCTTCTACCATGAAACCCAGTTTTCCAACATTTGCTTCTTAGTGTGATTTTAAACTATTACCCACTCTAGGGTTCCTTGCATTTTCAGCTGTGTCTCTTTAATTGGAGGGTGGGGGTGGGGAAGAGCTGTAAATCGGTTAGGGGAGGTTTACGGACTTTCGAAGGGCTGGTGGTCTGTGTGACCTGACATCCAGGTTCTAAGGTCCAGTCTGATTAGCAGTAACTCTGGGGCCCTGCACTTTCCCTGCAATGTGCATCTCACTTCTCTAGGCTGTTATTCTTCATGTAGCATCAAGGCTTTGATCAAAAACATTTGTATCAACTTAATGACTTAATCTTGATCACTTGAGAGAGACTACTCTAAACACTTCCACCAAATACTGCAGAGTTTGTTCCTGTACTGTTTTTTAACAATTACCAAATAAAACCAGTGGTTTATAAATAATTAGTGAAAATCAACAATTTCCCGTCCCTAATGAGCAAGAATATGCCTAAGCTCAGACACTGCCGGATTCATCTGTAGACGAGTGCATGCAAAAGACCTCAAAAGTTACCTTTTAATTCAACCTCATAGGTATGTAACTGTACCAAAGATAAATTTGGATGTCACTTTGTAATTATTTTGAGACCCAGCAAACAAAAGGGGTAGAAACTATGTCAGATGCCAAACAGTTAAGTCAAGAGAAAGAGAAGTAGTTATTACCAATGATATTTAGATGAGAGAGTTTCTTTAATAGTTAATAAAAGGGAAAAACAATCAAATCAAATGTAAAGGTTAATTTTTTAAACAACTACTAAAATTAAAGCCAATTTGTTATTTAAGTGATCAGTCCAGGTTAGTAATAGACTTCAGCAAGGAGTAGAAATCAACAAGACCTATGACTATGATGTACACACACATTGCAGTTGTGTTTTAGTAACAAAGTCTGATAGAGTGGGTCTCTCAACTTAATTAGAAAGGCTTTTGGATTAATGACTCTATCTCAGAACTGGATTTTAAATATGCTTCTTGACTGTAAACTAAGTTTAATCTTCACGCTCTAGTACCTCCATAAAGCAGACAGGAAAGAAACAGAATCACACTTACTTTCACAAGCTCCTGCTGGGCCCATATCTGAATGGGTTCTACCTGTTGAGGAGTTTGAGTCTGAATACCGTATGTGTTGAGAAAAACTTGAAGGCTGAAGAACACAGGGAAAAAACAGAGACATTTTAAGATAATCCATTTATAGTTTGGGCAATGGTGAATGAGGATGAGAAAAGGGAAAAGACCACGCTAACTTGGAGTTAGTAATTTTTATAATGTCAGCAGTATGTCATCTGCACTGGAATCCAGAGGCCCTGTTGGGCTCTTCATAAAGCATCAGATGGGAGCTTTGGGAGCTGGCAGAGGTTAAGTACCGACTCTGGGAATCCCCATAATCTGTCTGCATTAATTTCTCAAAACTACACACCAGGCAACACTGGCACTGGTCATGGTCTTTAATATTCACACCAACTAAAACAAAATTATTTTTAAACATGAAAAGAATGTTGTCCTGGCACTTAAAGTGACATTAGTGACATCCTTGAAACCCTGTCAATGAGTCTATGAGTTAATTTCTACCACCACGTTCAATATTGTAAGCATAATGCAATCAGCCTCCCTCCCTCAGCCCCCAGAAGAACATACCACCCATCTGGATTTCATACCGTTGACTTTCTGCTATTAGCGCTACGTAAACGACCAAATCATTTTCCAGTGGGCCCTGCAATACAGAATAAGGGATGGGGGAAAACATTTGAAAAGATCTGGTCATCATCAGCTACAATGAGAACCATCTCTAAGCAGTTCATTAAAATGATGGACACCAGCCGACTCTAAGCAGTCGCCTCTCTTTCCTTGCTCTCCACTGCCGACCAATCAATCTGATGGTGCAGACAAAGTAATGGAACACCAAGGAATGGAAAGACATAAATCTCACCACTACCAGAGGGGCTGGCCTGTCAGGCTGCTTTGAATGATGCAAAAGAGTAGTTTGGGGACCAAGAGTCATTTTCCATCATTTAACTATGAAGGGAAGAGTAGGAACTAAAAATAAAGGCCCAATTTATGTATTCTCTAAAAAAAAAATGATTGTGAGTTAAAATTGTTCATCTGACATCTTCACTACATGAAGCTATTCCCCTTCCTGTTAGCCAACTTTCCTTCCGCACCTTACACATCAAAGTAGCTTTATTCTAATATATAGCATCTATGGTAGAGAATGAACCACCCAGTTGACTATATAATTAGCACTGTGTTCATTAAATACAAGCTGTTGGGCTTAACAGTTCTAAACAAGATAGTGCTGGATATCTGCTACTCTTTTTCTGGGTGGAAAACATTCACTATAACATATTATGCATTGTTAGAGTAAACCCAATTTTGACCCTGTTTATAATTAACACAGAACATTAAGAAGCACCAATAAATTACACTATTAGGAGGCTGTGAAAATACTGATTAAATATAATTTCTTTATAGTAATGAATCCAACATTCCCAATAGTATGCTCTAAAACGTTTGATTTACAATCAGTCAGCTCCTTGATATGGTATTCAATATGCCACTAGAATTTATGTATGATGGAAGGCAAGAAACACCAGAATACATATACCAGCAGTAAATAACTTACAGTCAAAGGATGGTTCCCAGAATCATCGTGAAAATGCCATTTCAGGCCGTCTTCCGTGTGATTTAAATGAATACATAAAATACGATGTAACAACCCCACTAAAAGTAAATACACATTAAAAATACTATAAATTTTATCTTTAGTTGATAAAGACTTTACAGTTGATGTTACTCAAAAGGATGAGAAAAAGTCATTATTCAGAGTCTCACCAAGAGTTCTAACAAATGAAAGTGTTAGCCTTGATTTTTCTTGGATGAAATCTCCTATTCATCAAGAGGAGGGGTGACTTGAGAGTGGGCCCTTATCTACACTCTTCAGGACAATTAGTGCTCTTAAATTAAAAAAAAATGAATACATATATTAGAATACAGATGGTATTTCAGTGACAACAAATAAGGCAGCTGACAGATCCTAGTTGGCAAATTGGTATAATCACAGGTCTGTTTAGAACAATGCTGTTTGCAATTGTATGATAGAGTATTCTAAATCTAAAATGCCCACTACACATGTTGAATCACAACGGCATGTGGTTAGGGGATGACCAGATGGCTGAAGAATTCTTTCATTGTGAAAACTCGGCATTTCATAAAGTTCCAAATCACAAGCCATCTACCACAATGAGCTGAGGCCTCTAACCCTAGCCCAAGTGAGACCTTCCCTCCATTTCCACCCACAGAAGGACTTCACCACGGTCAGTCCCTCCCCCAACAATCCTCTTTCACTGGCAACATTGGAATTATCTTTTCTCTATTTTCACCATTTTCTCCAAAGCACCCAAACTGCTGTCTGAATCAGCGAAGTCTCTCTGAAAACTTCCTGATAGTAATTAATATCGTCTATTTCTGAGTGGTGCTTTCCTTAATAACACTGTAGTATTTTCTGCTTCAAGGTTCACAAAGCACACACGCACACACACGTACATACACATACCAAGCCCAGTGTGGTGCTGGAGCTCTGCATTTTAGGCGCATTTATGTACTCATTCATTTGACCAATATTTAAGGCACACTCACACACAAGGCTCCATACTACACCCCAGTGTTACAAGATGAATACAACCCAGTGTCCCTCGAGTTCAGAGTCTACTGGGACAGATGTACAAGCGATGTTTTCAAATGTGTTTATTATAATGGGAAAGTATTCCACTGATATCTCTCTTTGGGCAGTATAGATCTACCCTATTAAAAAAAAACAACAACAACGGCTGCAAGGCATTACATTTTATGGATGTACCATAATTTGTTCGAGGAATGTTTCTTGTGATAACACTTAGGTGGTTTCCAAAATTTCCGAGAATCCTGAGGATTTAGGGAGAGCACAGAGTGCTTAAGCACGGTACTGGAAACACAGCAGCCATAAAGGACACTCATACTTCCGGCAGTTGTACTTAGAGTTTTCACACCTATCCTAGCAGAGTTGTTCCTCTCTTCCTTGCTGAGATTTGCTGTAATATCTATGTGGCCCTTGGTCCCATTGGCTTCCACCATTCTAAGACATTAGAACCATCCACAACCCCCCTTTCATGACTAGTTCTTCCTCCAAAGAATTCCAAACATCTTTTAAAAGAAATCCGCAAGTGACTTACCACCTTCCTAGTTTTCTCTCACTTCCTCAAACATAGAGCATCACTATTTCCTTTCCTTCCTTGCCTCAGTTAACTCTGTGCTCTGCCATCTAATCTGCTTTGCCTTTGAGATGAAGTCTTCACACTTCAAGGACACTCAACTCCTTATCAACCCTACCTCCACACCAAACAGGCTCACTCCAGCTGAGAACCTCAGAACCATCTTGGATGCCTCCCTTTTACCCTCCATATTCAATTTGTCACTGAAATTCTGTTAATCCCTTTTTCATAAAGTATCTTGAAACATGTTCTCTTTTCATTTGTATAGTAACATTCAGGATTGAAAAGCAACAACAACAATAAACACTTTACATAACTTTCTACATTCCATATGCGAGGAGGCACTGTTCCAAGTGCTTTAACAAACAATTATTTCATTTTACAGGTAACAAAAATGAGGCACAGAAAGCTTAAGTAATTTATCCAAGGTCACAGAGCTAGTAAATAGCAGAGCTGGAATTCACATCCAAGCAGTCTGTGCTCATAATCACTCAGTTATTTTGCCTCTCAAAGAGTGGAAAGAGGGCAAGTTTTAGAAGCGAAGGACCCACGTACAAGTTCCATCTTGTCACTCTGTCTCATGATCCTGGTCATCTAATAGGTGCCTTCAACTTAACATGGACAAAACTGAACTACTGACTTCCTCAAATTCACTCACCCTTAAAATATTTCTTATAACAAGTAACAGCTTAAAAAAAAAGACAGCACGTACTAAGCACCACTGATACTACTTACTCATTAACACACCCCTCTCAGGTAGGCTACTATAATTATTTTCATTTACTGATGAGAAAACAGAGGCACACAGTGATTAAAAAACTTACTTAAACATCTTATAGCTAATACGTGGCAAAGTGGGGATCCAAATATGGCCAACCTCATCTATCTCTTAAACATTATAGCATCCTGCGTGCCTCTCTAGCGTGCTGCTAACTCACCAGTGAGTCCCACTGGCTCTACCTCTCCGAGCTTTGGCATGAATCAAACATGCCACTTCTCTCCACCTCTACTGCTACTATCACCCTGCTCAAAGTCACCATCCTCTTTCACTCAGTCAACTATCTGTCCTACCTGCCTCAGTCTTATCCCACCGCTCCCAACAGTCCATCCTCCAGATAGTAATGAGGATGGTTTTTTCAAAAAGTATACATCAGACCACCTCACCACCCCACCCCCACCTGCACGCACACATAGACACCCTGCTTAAAAGTCTCCAGTGTCTTCCCATCACCCGGAGAATAGGAACCAAACTGCTCACCATGGCCTCCAAGGCCCTACACGATCTAGCTCCAGCCTGCCTCTTCTTTCTCATTCTCCCTCCTCTTCTTCACCATGTTTCAGTCACACTGGGTTCCCTCTGTCCCTTGAACATGTCAACTGTGTTCCTATCCCAGGGCCTTTGTACTTGGCACATTTCTGTTTGGAATGTTTCTCATTCAGATTGTTGCACGAGGCCCTCTTGTTATGCAGGTTTCAACCACCATCCCTTTCTCAAAAAGGCCTTCCCTCCCTACCATGGCCAGCCTCTCTCTCTTACTTTATTTTGCCTACATCATAGTACCTGTCAGCTCCAGATTATTTGACATTATTTACTTTTATGTCCATTGTTATTCATTCCCACCAGAAAGTAACTCCCTGAGGACCGGGACTCTGATCTTGCTTGTCCACTGCTATGTCCCCATTGCCTAGAAGAATGCCTGGCACACAGTAGGTGCTTACTATTGATGAATGACCGCCCAGGCAAGTTTCTCTATGTTCTTCTGGGTTTATCTATAAAATAGGAATAATGATATCTGAGATGCCTACCACATAGGGGGAGGAGCAAACAAAAGAGGGCCTATAAAAATATTTACAAGCTTTGAGCTGCTAAACAAGTGATAGTTACACTATTGTTTGTTGTGTGATTATAGCAATGAACCTCGCTGAGCCTCAGCTTCTTCACTGGTAAACTGGAATAATAAAAGTATCTATTTCATAGGGTTATGAGGATAATACGTAACATATATAAGCATTTAACACAGTGTCTGGCATATATTCTTAAGTGTTTTTTTTTAAAAAACAGCCTTTTTATCAGTCCAGTAACACAACCACAATCCTGGATCACTGTTACAGGCTTCCTGGGCTTTCTGGTTCAGACTTGCCTCTGCTCATCTCACATTCTTTACAGTTGGGCTACTTTTCCTGTGCGAGTGATTTTTACAAAGCAGAGGCTCAAAAAATATTTGTTGAATGAATGAAGAAAGGGAGGTAGGGTGAGTAAACAGACATATGTATGTCATATTCAGGACATCACTTTAATACTCCAAAACCAGTGCTTCCCAAATAAAGCCCCAGCTTCCAAGGGCCTTTACAACTTCACTGTCATCTGTGGTTCCTAGTTGGTCCCCCTGTTTCCTTAGACCACTCCACTGAAGGTACCAGTTCACTCACGTCCATCTCAAGTGTCTGTCTGCTGTCCTACATTTGG